ATGTCATATTTTTCACCTCGGTAATAGGTCCACGTCGGAGGAGAAAAAACGAGCTCGGGCGGAGAGAGTAAGTTCGGTGTTTGTCCGCAACGCTGCGTCACACAGTGGAGTCTCTCTGATTGGTTGACGCGGCGCGTCGAGCTGCAAAAGTTCAGATTTTCTAACTTCAGCGATTTCAGCGCGTCGAACGCTCAGATTGTTCAAATCGTTCAAATCGCGCTGCTCTAACCGCGCTTGAGGCGCCGCAGAACTTCCCGACGTTGCTTGAAGCGCGTCCACCATAGACTTTGTATGTAAACCTGCTGCTCCTGATGCTGAAATCGCGTTTGGTGTGAACGCACCATAAGAGAGTAGGTACACTATTAATGACTAATAAACATAGTGTCATAAGAGAGTCTTATAAATAGTGTACTGTTTTACAGATTTGGCTCACTATTTGGCAAGAAACTGGCCAGTGTTGTCTCTTTCTTGTCCTTAATGCATAATAAACACTTAATAATAATTTATAAAGTGTTTACAGATGAATTAATAACCTATCTATAAACTATTTATAAGCCAACTACAAGGGGAGCCTTATTGTAAAGTGGTACAGAAAAAAAATATATATATATATATATTGCTTAATTTTTGATGAGACCAACTGCTCACAGCAGCCTTCAGAGAGAAAAGGAGAGATCAGAAGCTAGATTTTTTTATTTAATATCATTTTAAAGTTGACCTGTTATGAACTTCATACATTGTAAATGTTATAGAATGGCTCTTAATAATGTAGGGTGGTTGCTTGTTTCCTATAGTGGACTTATTTATTTCATAGGTTGTTGGAGTTGCATACAAATTTAGAACTTAGAAGAGCAACTGATCTCCTATAAATTCCTTCATTAAGAAACTCTTCATGTAAGCATTTCTACTTTTAAAAATCTGTTTGAGTTTTAGTAGATTCAGTCCTCCCCTACTTGCTTTCATTGCATTAGTGTGATCTGTCATATTCCAAATACTCATTCTAATAATCATTTCAAAATAATAATTTCTTGCTATCCTTTTTCACTTACATTTCCATGAGGATGATCTTGGCATCAGACATTCTTATATAGACTTTACAGTGATTGTATAAGTAAAATATTATATCATCAGCATATCATTGAGTTGTTCCATCTTGATTTCATCATTGTAACGTCTTAGACGGCCCCATGTTGTTATTACCCACTGTTATGATGCTGCCATGTTGTCAAACACAGACACCTCCTCAGCTTCAGAAGACGAGGGCTCGCTGCGGCGGCAGGGACGCCTGCCCACCTCCACCCCCTACCAGGGTCACAGCCACCCAACCGTAGAGCACTGGTTTAACCGAGTCATCCAGGGTTCGTCCACTTCATCCTCCGCTTCATCCACTTCGTCCCACCCGGGAGGGAGATCCGCCACCAACACCACCACCCAGGCAGCCCTCAACGCCAACGCCGCAGCAACCGCGCTGGCAGACCTTATGGCGCACACCCAGCTAGGTCAGTGACACCCTTGATCTCACACAGCATCACATATGGTGTAGTCAATCTGGGTTTAAATGTATACTTCTAATATACATGCACTCATGAGACTGAAGACTAAATCTGGATGGCTTCAGCGGATGTTTAGATTAGATAGACCTTTATTGTCACTTTACAGAGCACAATGAAATTACAGTTCAGAACACCCATTCAGAAGAAGACAGAACTTAACAAACATAGGAGAACAGGTGCCCTGGGTCATGCAGCCACAGACTATTTAGAGAGCTAATCAAATTTGTTATTATCATATCGGTGGTAAAATCTTTACCTGTATTATTTCAAATCTTTTTTTAAACTGGGGTAGTTAAATTGCAGACACTTTGGAGGCTTTGTCTCCCTGCAGACACACTAAACATCTTGATGATGGCACTTCAGAGAGAACCAGTGACAGTTTCAAATCACATCTCTGTAATTAGTCGTCGCTGCCTGCCATCTCGCTGTCATTCATTCATTCATGAAGTGAGGAAGCTCACAGCATTATCTCGGTCAAAGCTGCTTGTTCTGTGTTGCCATTTGAGCGTCACAAGTGAGTCAGTGAGATTCAGTGGATTTATCAGCGTCAGTATCTAAATGTGAGATGGTGTCTTCCAGGCTTGTGTGTGTCTGTGTGTTGCTGGCACAATATTATACTGAGGATGGAACTGTCTTGATTTGTTTGTTTCTTTCCATCTCATCTACATTTAAGTTTGCTGTCATAAATTGTCAGCAGTGACTCTTAGATATGACGCTGTAAATAGGTTTCCAATATTACCAACAGCTTTTGGAGATATTGTGAAAGGCAGTATTTTAGATCAGAAATCATGTTACAAGAGGTTTTTAACTCATAAAGTGCAGATGATTGTGATTGCTTTGGACTCACCAACAAAGATACATAGAATAAAATAGAAATAGAAAAGAAACAGCCTTTATTGTCCTGCGCAGGGAAATTCAGGTGTAATAGCAGCAGCAGATACATAAATCAATCCACAGAAACAGTATATTGCTATGTGACATCATCAACTGTAGCAATAATAATAGAATTAAGATAGTAACAATAAAAATAAACATAGATCAAAATAAAAATAAGGATAATAATAATTACTGTACCGCACTATCAAGATGAAATTAGATAAAAATTAAAATAAAAGCAAGATACTGTGCATAAAAATATGAAATTACAGGAAAAAACTGTCATGACAGACTCGTGATCCGAGGGGGTGTGCAAAATGAGTCAAACTCAGGGGTGTGCAAATTGAGTCAAACTCGGGGGTGTGCAAAATGAGTCAAACTCAGGGGTGTGCAAAATGAGTC